ATCCATCACCACCCAAAAGGTAATATAAATTGCAAATCTTTGTTTATTTGTTTGTTTATTGTCTGCCTAGAGCAGATAGTAGTACCTAGTTAACTTTGACTAATCTTGAAAAGCAGAGTCAGACCTAGTAAGTAGTTGGATGGGAGAGTGCCAGGAAATCCCATAGTTGTGAGCTAGACTAAAGAGTTAGAAAAACATTCTGGAAGAAGGTAGTGGCAAATCACTTCCCTGTTGTTGTCCTAAATACTGCATGGTTGTTCCATGAAGATACCTGGAAGACCCTTGACTCAAGACTCGAGAGACTTTGCCTCTGGTGTCTGTTAGATTTGTATCTCATCTTTCTTTCTGGTGATTTTATCGCTAAGAGTTTTCTACTTCTGAAGCTTGTACTTTATGACTTTTACATACATAAAGAGAACCTAGTTAGGTAACCTACAATAACCACATCAATAATGAAGTGAACAAAGGGCAGTTGGGGTGATGGACACATTCATTTTAATTGCATCATATAGTTCTTGTAGGTTGAAATGAGCACATATTATTGTTGGAGATACAGAACCATTAAAATGTGAGATCAGGGCGACAATAAAATTGATTACAGCCTAAATATAATTAGGAAGACTACAGAGAACTCAGCAATCTACCTGTATATCATGACTCTTGTAAGCTCCTTGCTAAGAGGGCTTATTTCTGTCACTTAATACCTTTAATATCTTCTTGGAGTAGTTAGGTATCGTGTATAGACTGATTCCATTATATTTAAGCATACCTTGAAAAAGCAGAGTCAAACCTAGCACATTTATAATTTAAATGAAATTTCTTCCCAGTGTGTGATTGACAGCTAACACTCAAAAAATCTGAGGTATTTCACCATTGTTGTCCACATTTTTCAACATCAGCATCATGCCATATATTGAACAGATGTCTAAACATCAGGATTTTAAGTGAACACTGAATACCATACTTAGACTAAAATAGCCACTGTAAACAATGACAAGCTTATACCGGCTTATACGTCAACCCTTTTTTAGGTGTTAAAGCACTTTCTTTTTGTTGCAAGTGTAAAATAAGTGCAACTCCTACTGACTGCATGAATGTGTCCATGTGACTTTCATGGCAACAGTACAGTACAGAAAATATTTGCCATTGCGCTCCTATAAGATTTTATTTTTTCTTTTTAATTGCCAATCTTCTCTGTAGCCTTTCTATTGGAATCCCAATTACTAACCAAAACTACTTAATTTTTCAAGATCAAACAAGGTCAGGTAGGTCTGTAAGTGCCCACCGCTAAGCGCCTGATTAAAAATTACAAAAGTATGTCATGATGACATGATACAAACCCCACCCATTGTCATTGTGATATACTGTCATGTCCTGATGTCTGTTGGAAGTATGCAAGCCAAGGGGTTTATCCTGTGATGTCATGAGACATAGTTCATCATTCCCACCCCCTTGCTCCCTTCCTGCAGATTCCTAGGTTCTGGTGCTATCACCTTCTATTACAATTTTAAAATAGCTTTACACGTATGCCAACCCAAAGGATATGATTTAGCTTTGTTAAATGGGTAAGATTACAAGTTGATTTCACTTGGTTAAAGCAAAAATTTCTCAATTACTAAAATATCCGATGTGTATTCTGTAATTATATTCACAAGAGAAAATACATTGTGTGTGTGTCCTAAATAAAAGTCCTAAGATGCAAGCTTGGCTATTAAAAATGGAAGACTATGTTTAAAATACTGCCTGCTTGCCCCTTTCACAAAAACATACATCTGCTGGAGAGGTGACTGTTTCCAAGTTTAGGATATTAAGCCAATTTTAACTTACGTAGCCTTCTCTGTTTCACTTCTTTCTTTGAGTGTTTTTCAGAGATAATCTTATAGTCAGAACATGCACTAAGATGCAGATCCTGGAATACCAACCAGGACCTATGTCATCTGCCTTTCATCTTTGTAGGATAAAAGATCTGATTGCATGAACATCCAGTACCAATCCAAGCTTCAATAAGCATAGAAAATTGTTTCCCAAGCTAAATTATTCTTTGCCCAATTGTTTTGCTGCATTCTGGACAGAAGTAGTTTCTTACAACAGTTCAATATTATTCTAGACTCTTGCCAAACAGAAGTAGAATCTTATAATGCAACTGCTTGAAGGGAGTATTATAGATGCTTTCTGAAAAAAAAAATTCTTATGTTTTCTGCTGCATTTTCTGTGTGCCTACTAATCTAACCAAAGATGCAAAATAGTCTGCTTCTGTGTTTCTTTGCTTGCCTGTTACTGAAAATATAATGTGTTTATTAACAGTAAACAATTTACACGTTCCTCCATTTTTAAGAGTTAAGAAAATAACTTCCTCATCAAAAATGATTTTGTGATTTTTTCCACTATAATGTTATACATATTTTTATTAGTGTGGAATGCCTTTGCCACAAAAAAGTGATTTACTGAAGAAAGAATACAGCCATGAATCTTGTTTCTTCTCTTACTCTACTCAATGTATGAAATCTAGAAAAAGTCGCTACGAGATGAAGACTTGATAATGTCTGTAATTACAGAATGCAATCCCCGTCTTGCATGTTCTTGGGTGTGGTTGAAATGCATGTTGAAACTGCATCTACGTTTTAGGCACGCTAGGCAGGTACTACTTAGAGATTGATTTTTTGGCACACAAAATTTACTTTTATGGTTTCAGTTCTGATCAGAGTTAATTTGTATAGACAATTGGCAAATCCAAAGAGATAGTAGTTTAAATTACTTCCTTGTCTTTTCATTTCCTCACTGATGTGAAGCCATCAAATTAACCAATTATTCATTTTACCTTAGAATTCTGCAATAGAGGCATTAAAAAAATAGTTTTGCCATCAATCATTTGAAATTCAGCTAAAAGCATATGGACTGGAACATCTTAGCCTTTAGAGCTCCAAGACAGGCATGATGTCTTCAAGCTGATTATTTATTATTATGCTTTCATGTCTTGATTTATTCATTGTGGGAACCCAGATTATATAACTCATGAGGAGGAAAGCAATCGTTGGTATTGGTAAGAATATTTTTATTTTTTATTTATTTATTAATCAAATTTATATGGTCGCCCATCGCACAGAAAGTGACTCTGAAGAATATCACTGAAGAACTTCAGCCAAACTTGGGAAAAGGTGAATTCCTGCCTCTAGAAATTTTACCTCATCAACATTGCACATTTTGATCTAAAAAAAATAATAATTGAAGGTAACTCTGTAAAGAATTAAGTTCTCAACTCAGTTAGGTCAAAACATTTGTATTTAAATATTTTGTCCAGATCAGGTACCTTACGCAACCGTGTCTTCATCCAGGGGGCTTTATGTGCTTCTAATCACATAAAGGCTTAGAAATGCTTTTGCTTGGATTTTTAGTGGAGCTTTAATTAAGCTGTTATCTCAGTTGATACATTTGAAGTGCAGTTGGGAAGACCTATATCATGCTCTTTGCTCAGCCTCAAACTTGGTTGACCTTGGACCATTCCTTTTCATGTAGTCTTATCTATCCCAGAACAAGTCTAAAACACATTGCTGCTTGAAGCCAAAGAGAAAATTGCAATGTTCCCCTATTCTTTGCTTCCTTCTAATTGTTTGCAAATGCTTTAGGTTCTTACCCTGTACCCGCTTTCCTGATAAGAAGACCCACTGATTGTAGGACTTACTTTTACCCAGGATTGCCTAGCATTACACTGTTGATGAGGTGTCTATTGCAGAGAAATCAATCATTCTTTGCTACTTGTACACTTACTTATACATCATTATTAGGCCTACATCCAAGTATTAAAACTTTAAACAGCAGTGACATTAAATTTTTGCAAATTACCTGGCATTGTGTATCTGTGCTGCTGAAGGGCATATACAAATATCATTCTGCCTTATCTGTGGGTTTGTTTATTTAACCACAGCTTGCTACTCTAACAGTCAATAAAAATGATAAATTGCCTTTATGCCATTTCTGTTATAATAACTGGAAGCAGTCTGCCCCACAAGCACTAAAAGCATAAATCAGAATATGTACAGTATGAAGTTGACAGTTTTAATTGCTTAGCACTGGCATGCTTTAGTCAAGTGGGGGCATCATTGGTCTTTGAAAGATAGTCCAGATAGACCTATTTCTTTCTAAAAAATGCCATTGAGAACTACTAAATAACATTTCTTTTTAACCTCTCAATTTGACAATCCCTGTGCATTTGGCATTCTGGATGCATGCGTATTGGAATTTTTTTCAAAGCCAAATAATCACATTAATGTTCATGATTGACCGTCATCCTTTTTTCTTCTTCTTCTTCTTTACACTAATGCTTGAAAGTTTTGGATGCATTCCAGATGAGCAGCTCTCACCAGTTAAGCACATGTAAGAAATACTTTTAAGTTTGAAAAGAAATGGCCGTGAGGCAAGAGTAATTTTTAACTTATATTTTTAAAAAAGCTGGAAGAATAGGCGCTGATGTCTCAAAAGGACCCCATTTTCCATCGTTTCATGTTGGGTCTTCATTTGATTTTCATAGTATTGCCTATATTTTGACTTTGATTTATGTGTGTATGTCAGTGTGTGTGCAGGTGTATGCCTATGAAATAAGTTACGATCAGCTTTGACCCCAGGGATGCTTTTACATGACTGGATTTTGAACAACCTCCATACGGGTGTGTAACCTAACTAGACTACACAATAACGTGCCTTAAGACTTCAAGCAATTTATGCTAGTATTTCCATCAATGCAGTTGGCCAGTTCTCGTATGAAGTTGGAATCCTGTATAACACATCTTTCTGAGACAAGAGCCAAAGGCTAAGTCTGTAGATAATGACTTGAGATTTTTGGTTTTTTCCATGTTACCATGATTGTAAACTGACAGCTGTGAAGGACCTTAACTGACATCAAAGGATGCAGATCTTCTAGTGAGATCAAGTAATGTTAATTCTCGTCTTCCATTAAATTCTTTAATGCATTTCCCATTTTCTCTCTCTTTTTTTTTTTTTTTCAGCCAAGCCCATTACCAAGTCCTGTTTTGGGGAGAAAGCCAAATGCTAGTCAGTCATTGCTTGCTTGGTGCAAAGAAGTTACAAAAAACTACCGAGGAGTAAAAATCACCAATTTCACTACGTCGTGGAGAAATGGTTTATCCTTTTGTGCAATATTACATCACTTTAGACCTGACTTAATGTAAGTAGGAACATTTTATCCTTAAACTGTCCCATTTCTTACTTCTTTTCATTTTCGGTTTCTAAAGTGCCGTCTTGTGGAGTGGGTCAGAAATGGATAAATAACCTCGCATCAGGCCCTTTCTGAGGCTACCTTCTAAACCCATACTGATTTCTCATTTTTGTGTGCATTTTTTTTCTTTTTAATCACATGCAACCAACTGACTTCAAGATCATTAGGAAAATTGGGTTAGTGTTAAAATGAGATGAGAAAAATAAGCCCGTAGCTCTCATGCGCCAACAAAAGATTACCTGATGGTAAATTTGGTTGTCATAGCTAGCTTGAAGTCACTGCCTTAACTTCTCTTTTCAGATGGGAAGCTTCAGGCAATGAAACAGACAATCTCTATATTTCTATTTCTATTTATGTATTTATTCTTTTAATTTTCCACACTATTAGTTTTGCTGATTGCTGTGAAATTGCTAGTTACTGTACGTTGCCATTTTAAGTTAAATTATTATTATTTGCTTATATATTGTGGTTTGTTTTAAAAATGGATACTTTTTATAGAAGTATTTTACATACCCACTGTGCCATTTTCCCCCTCAGTGACTACAAGTCCCTGAATCCTCAAGACATTAAGGAGAACAACAAAAAGGTAAGAATCACCAGGGAGAAAGGGAGAACAGATACAGCTTCAATTCTGGATTGTGGCAGATTTTTATTAATTTTGGAGTGACTTTGTTTTACAAGGTCACAATTAGACCTCCCAGACTGTACCTCCTGAACACATTATTAACTCTGGTTTGTCATGATTTGTAACATTCATGACAAATGCCAGGTTGGAATTTGAGGTCCATCTTTGTAGGTCCCTAATTAATAGAGAGAACAAAAGAGAGAAAGTGTGAGAGAGAGCAGTAGCTATTTTTTATCATTCTATTTTCCTTAATAATTTAATTATAAATAAAAATATCATTGTTCAGTAATTATCTTGACTCAAGGCTTTCTTGGCCTTTGCTTTAATATGAAAGACTTCACTGGTATGGTTATAATAAGCTCTGTTTTGACTTTAGCTTTTATTTAAGAAAGAGGGAGAAGTGGAGATAAAACTTCACACAGGCTTTTATCCACCACAGTCAATTAAACTAAGCAGTAAGGTGCATTGCATTTTTGTAATATGCAGAATATGGAGCAATTTTTTATTGTTGGAAACAAGATTTTTTTAAGAAGGCAAAATATTAATGAAATATTGTCTGATAGTATTCTGGGTCCAGGTTTATAATCCTCAATAATATTAGGTAATTTAATACCCTTTTGATATAAAGGAAATGAGTTCAGTGGTTTGAGACTCAATCTAAGAATCACAAGAAGACATGTTGGTACTTAATGCTGCTTTTACTACTTAAGACTTTCATTGTAGAAATTTCACATTTTAATTTCCATAAGATTCCAGGGCATTGGCCTAGAGGGAATCATTTAAAAATTGCTCATTTTCCACTTGATTAGACTACAACAAAACTAACAGCAAATCAGTTCAGTTTGTTTTATTCGCTGAATTTTTATTAGATAGTGTGATTTTCTACTTTTTAACTGATTATTTTTAAGATTTAGCATACAACATTCAGGATTCAGAAGGAAAACTAGCTCTTTCACTTCCCCCTCTTCCTGCAGGGAGTAAATCAGAAATCATTCAGAAATTCTATATATAAATTTCATACAGAAAATGAATGTGAAGAATGATGCATTCCTTATGCCATCCTAATTATGAATTGCATATGTATTTTCAGTATTATTAAAATGTTTTTGTTCAAAATATGTCATCACTGCAGTAGCAGCACTGTAACATATATGCTGTCTCTTGGAAGAAAAAATAATAAAGGTTGAACTAGAACTGGATGCTTATGTATCATTTTCAAAATTATATGATAAAGTGTCTGGTAGTTTGCTTTTTGAACAAATGCTGTGAAGTCAACAAATCCATTCAGTCATTTTCATTTATAAAAATTGTGACTGGAAGTAAAAAGGAATTAATACTGAAAACCTTAGCCAGCTTTTCAAATGTAGCATTGCTCTTTATTGAAGAAGCAGTTGTTTTTACTAGGCTGTGTGCACCTGTGTGTGTATATTTTCTTTCATCGCTTTGCAACTCTTTGCCTGACAGCTCTACAGAGTAACTCAGTTGCTTCCTGCAGATTTATTTCCTGGGCTCACACAGTTCTGCCCGATAACCTGCGTGTCCTTGATTGGAATGAACACAACCCTGGGAACAATTGCCAATAAATTCTATATACTGGACAATGAATGATTCCTCCTAACCAATTAAAATTGATAAATAATATGCTTTTTTATAATTCCTGTATTTTCTCTCTTATAAGTTGACATGAGGAAGAAAATGTAATTTGATGGGTTCTGACTTCAACTGTGAGTGTTAACTTCAGCAAAACAACTTCAGTCCATAGTGGAGGAGACTTTGTTTTTTAATTATATTTTTTTCTGAATAAGATAACTTTTGATATAGGTCATTCTGTACAAATATATATTAAAATCTAATGCCCCCACACATAATCATGTTATCTTCTAAAATATTTCTATACTGTCAAACTACAGTCCTGAATTTACTTTTTTTCAGTACAACTTTTATGGAATCTAATAGAACCAATTTCTGAATAAATTGGCCTAGGCTTGTCCATAAAAACAGCATTAAAAAGAAAGGGCAAAAAGCATATTTACTGTAATGTCAGACCTTGACCAACATGTCAACGTGTTTAGACAGATGTTTAGAATACTTTCTATGGTGTTTTTGTTGATTTCATCTGATATCTGTCATCTAATACCCGTCAATCACAATTAACATGCAGCATTTATTTGTTTGTCTTCAGAATGTATCTGGCCTTTTCTTCAAAGTCTCATAGCAGCAAAAACAATTTAATGAATAACTAGAAACTATTTTTGTGCTAAGCCAAAACAAACAAACAAATACAGATACCACCCTCATTTTATTTTTCATGACATCGGGGTATTTTTTAAAATCAACCTTTGGGGTTTATGGAATCTGGAATTTAAATCTAGGTAGAATTTAAAACTTTGCTTCAAATTCAGGTTTTGTAGTCCTTTTTTTTATTTTTTTTTATTTTACAGAAAGCTCTGGCCCTCTGCTGCCATCTGATGATCATCCATATTTCTCCATCCCAGATCTGATAGCTCTGCTAATAGAGGATGAAACTCTTTCATCACTCGGTATAGCAGCTAGTTCCTAATAACCATCTGGCTGATCCGTTTTGAAACAGTTAAAATTTATGTTCAAACTTTTAGAACAGTATCCAGTGCAACACAATGCTGGAATCTAACTTGAATGATGTAAAAACATTGTATGCTAGGAGCCAGGACAATCCTCTTTTTGCAGGAATGCAGCTGATGCAATGTCTGTAAAAACTCTTGCAGATTAATAAAACTAGTTTAATTTCCAGTCAGATCTAACAGCACAGCAGCACTCCCAGACTGTGAACCTAGTCATTAAGGGGGGAGGGGAGAATGGGGAATAGAGTACAGTACTGTTGTTCTAAAGCCCACATTCATAATCTATCTAGGATATCCATGCATATCACATTTAAATATCCCAGTTGAATTATCACTCTGTGTTCACAGTACAATTCTAAACATTTCAGGCTCTAATCTGGGAGGGTTTTTTTTCCACAAACAGGACAGATGTCTACTCTGCTCCAGTAATTACGTGCTGGAAAGGATAGAGAGAATGTTCAACAATAATTTCAAGGTTGCAAACTAAATTCAGAATTCACTGTCATAATTGGGATCATATTTTAATTATTCAAAACAATCTGGGTTTTCCCCATCTCTCAAAGTCAGACTAGTCCATGGCTTTTCATATAGTTTTTTAATTATTAACAAGACATTTTGAAAATATAAATATATGTGCTGTTTTTCTCAGAACCAGCTATAAAGCTGAAGACATGCCCATAGTACCTTTTGTAAAGCCTTCCTTGAAACACAATACTATTTTTTCCCAGGCTTGCCTTGGATAGTAATAATTAACTGTAAATTGAGAAACGGCTGTGATTCTCCAAAACTAGAAAAACTTGATGCAAGTGCATTCTTTAAAGGAATAGGAGTAGTAGAGTTGGCCTTGTTTTTAGCTTAAAGCTCCTTAGCAGTTTGATAGACATGAATTAATCAGTACCTACTACAAAGGAAGAATAAGGATGGAGGAATGGAGGGAGGGAGGGATATGGATGGAAGGACAGATGGACAGACAGACTTAAACAGCACAGATGAGCTGTTGTTTTCTGTTACCCAACTAACCAATCCAACCTAAATGACAGCAATTTCATGGCTAATAGAAGGCTGGTCAGCTAGCATAAATCCCACACTGGATTAGTATCATGTTTCCTTCTATCTTTGTTATCTTAGTTTCTTACTTTAAAAACCAGTCTGCATGTTCATGTTT